ACATTGCCCTTGTAAAAGCTTTGTTAATCTTCCCCTGATTTTTGGCAAACATTAAAAATTGCTTGCTTATTATTATTTACATCATTTGAAATTAATTAATTAGTTTGTTCTTGAAATAGAGTCACATGTTTGCCCAGGCTGGCCGAAAATTCTGTATGTAGCAATGTTAAACTGATCCTTCTGTGTCCAGTCAATAGATGAAACATGTACCGCCATGTTCAGTTTTATATGGTGCTGGGGATGGGAACCGAGGCTTCCTGCTTTGTACGCAGGCACTCTACCAGTTGAGCTACATCCCCGAACCTTCTTCTTACTGATTTTGGACCCTGCTGTTTATGGTACATGGTTAGTTATGAGCAGTTTTTAAGTCACCCTTCCTGATGATCAGTTACTGTGAAAATACCAATTGCAGACTCACCTTCTGAAGTGTTTTTTATTAACTTGGTTATCCACATATCATTTGAGGGATTATTGAAACACTTGGAGAACATCACATACATTTCAAAGATCTATTTTTGCTGTCAATTCCATTTGGATGATAAGGCTTATAAATGTCATACACTTTACATTTTTCCTAATTCTTCTATTTTCAAATTCTTGGTTTCCTTTTTTTTTTCCCACTCTTCGCATGTATATTGGACTTTTTTTCTAAAGCACTTAGAGGCAGCTTATCAAGATTCAGAGAGTATAACAAGGGGTTATAAATGAACCACACATTTAATAACTAGGAAACACAGATGGCAAAGATCTGGTGGCAGTAGTCAAGCTGGCTCCTGTCTTCCCATTGTCCCCATCTACGTTTAGCTGAATGGCCGGTCCTGCATCACAGGAAATTCCTTAAGCCACCAGGGCCCACGGTTGTGTCACATGAACCTTCTCCAGGGACAGGTGAACAAGTTTCCAGGGTCAACTCTGTGCCTTCAAGGCTGACCCAGGTGCTAACCCTTGCAGTGAGTAACCAGTATGGAGGCATTCCACTGCAGACAGAGAACTGAGACACTGACCAGTAGGTACCCTGGGTTATTTTTTAGTATAATATTATATGCTAGACCTGCAAAAGGGGTGGGTAAACCTCCCTTTGCTTTTCTCACACTGTTCCCAAGTAGAAAGTGGTATTAATCTCATTTTATGGGAAGGGAAAGTGAGGCTCAAAAAAGGTTGAATACCCTGCCGGGGTAGTCAGGGGGATTAAAGGTAGAGAGCTAGGGAGCTGAGTGTGGGCAGGCTGACTTCAAAGCTGAGATCCTCCTGCCCCAATCAGCTCTGATCACAGGAATGCATCAGTGTTCCGGGAGGTGCAGTTCTTACAGTTTGTGGAGGATCAGATTCTTGTAGCTGTAGTTCCTCTTTGTATAGTACTATTTACAGGAGAAAAAAAAATTAGAAGGGGGAGACTAAAGATTGTATATCAATACAACACAACCCCACATCAATACTACATTAATTTTTCCATTTGGCACTGGGAGATTTCCCCCTCTGAATTCTCTGTAAACTTTATGCACATTTTTATGTTTCCCACCAAATTTAAGGGGCCTGTGTCAGGTTGGCAGTGTAGCTCAGTTGCTAGAGCGCTTGTCGAGTGTGCACACGAAAGGCCTGGTTTCCATTCCTACCACCGCCCCAAATGGCCCCAGCAGAGAGTTCTTGCTATGTCGGCTGCTTCAGGCTTGCCCTGTCTTAGGTTGGCTTTACTACTTAGAAACTTGGCCTGTGATTGATGCATTCCAGTGAAGCTGCATCAGCAGATTTGAGCCCATACCATGGCTTGGTTTGCACTTGATGACACAGGGAAGTCCTTGCCACTGACTCTGGGGAGCCACTGGGCTTGTCCGTAACTACGACTCTGGCACATGTGCTGCCTGAGTGTGACCTCTGTTCTCCATCCCTGTGGATGATTTTTGCTTTTTTCCTGTCCTAGTGAGGCCTAACCATTTGAATATTGCCATCTCCCCCCCCCCCCCGCCCTTCCATCTCTGCTCCCTGCTCTTCCCCTCAGTTTGGGCACCGCTAGGCAGCCTCTCTTCCTCCCTGGCCCTCGTAGCGGCCTTTGTATTTGTTCCTTCACCTTCGCTCTGCCTTGTGACACTTTGCTGACCTCCAAGCTCAGTTTGAAATTTTGCCACTCAAAGCTGGGTTCCTAGTGCCCCAGCATACGAATTGCTGGGAAGCCTGCTAGAAGGTACTCTAGGCTTTGCCTCAGAATATTTGGTGGACCCCGGGCATTTCCACACTGCCCATGTGACCCAGTTAGGGGAATCAGAACTGGATCTTCCTGTAGGAAGAATTGGATACCAAGTTTTCATTATGTCAGTTTGTCCATCCTTGGGCATTAGTTACCTTTTGAGTAAAGAACAAATGACTGCTTTTTAATAAATGTCTTTCCTAATTATATGAATGAACTTACGGCATTGGGGAAAGCTTGGATACTTTAACTGATAACATGGTTAGGAAGAAATTCAAATAGCAGCCTCACCACTGTTTTGAAAAGTAGACTTTCTTCCCTCCCTCCCCCCATCTCTTTCTCCCTCCCTCTCTCCCTTGCTGATAATTATACCTGTACTCTCAATAGATATATACCAGCTCTAAAGAGGGACTAATTTTGGGAAGAATATTTGATTCAGCAAATATAGTTTTCAAGTTTTTACTGTGTTATACCTTGTTAGAAAGGCAGCTAAACCAAATGCTAATATATAAATGAAGGTACAGATAGGCCTGTAGAGGACCTCTTTTCTTCTTGTAAGTATATTTCTTTCTCATTTTAGTGTCTTTGATAGTGTAGGAAACAACTGATAACTCCAGTGGCTGTGTTTTCATCATGCCTTAGGCTTATGAGGCCCCTGTTACATGGGGAAACTATGAGGCAACCCAGATTAGACAAGAGTATGGAGAGATATGAACCCCAAAACTAATCGGTGAATGACTGTGGTGCTGCATGGTAGAAGCATGTGTGGCTGTGAGGCACAGGCTGATGGGAATCATCCCCCCACTACCCACCCGTTGTTTGGTCTGCCTTTATGCTGCTGGTGTGGTTGTATTGGTAGGAGCCTGATCTATGATGAGCTCTATCCAGTTTTTAGAATTCTGTAATCTACACACACACACACACACACACACACACACACACACACACACACACACGAGAGATGGGGGGAGGGAGGGAGATTGCTCTGCAATGTCAGAGCCCCTAATACTCTTGGTGTAAGGTGTGATATGGCCACTTATGTGCAGAGGGCTAAAAATGGTAATTTTCTTCAAGGCAAAAACAATGTCCTTACTTGTGAACATTGGTTATGTATTGTGCATTTTGGTTGATAGTCTGAAAGATTGGCGATAGGAAGCCATGGAGGCATTCATTATTATGAGTGTATGGTGATAATGCCGAGTATTGTCTGCAGTCAAGATATTCTGTTTCCATGTTGTATCGATTGGATCCTACGTCATGCTTCAGGCTAAGTTGGGGAGGTATCCCATTGCCCATCACACGCTGTTGACTTGGAAAAGGGAGTGCCCAGGGATGTGTTCAATTTTTCCTCTAGAAGCATTTCATGGCAAAAGAACCTGATATCAGAAACAGATGACTCGGGACCTTAGGTCTCAGATCTTGGTCCAAGATCTTGTCAGACCTATATAAAATGAGCTGACTGGCTGAGGGGAATGAGGAAGGAAAAGGTCTGCATAGGATAAAAAGAAAATAGAGAAGCCAGTGAGTTTCTTAGGATCTTGCTCCAGGAAGAGCTTTAGATATGTGTAGGTATTTAAGGTATGTGCCTATGTTACATGTTACTATATTTTGGCCAAGTTATTTGAGGTGCATAATATTTTTGGTAATTTGAGCATTAGATAATACTGGATATGTACACTAGCAGCCCAAACTGGAAAGCGCTAGTTGGGCAGCTGAGTTAACTGAAGTTAACTAGAAGTACATAACAGAATGTACATGTGGTTGCATGCCTAGATGCTCCGTTCTTTCATCATGAGTGTGGAGCAGCATGTGTGAGGCTGCTTTGGTGACCAAGGGCATGCTTTTGCCATTGGACAGCACTGTGAAATGAATGGGCACCTCGACTTGATGGGCTACGCATTTATAGTCATGGCTTTAAACACCAAAAGAAAACCCACTGTAGGAGCACTGCAGGAAAATGAGCTTCATTGAAGATTTTCACGTGTCTCATTGAAAAGCCTTGTCATTTTATATAATCACATAAACTTTGTTCTCTGTCCCAGTCTGGCCAACTGAACTGCAAAGCACTGCTTTTCTGCTATTTTAGCTAAGTGGACGGTTAATGTACTGTAGGCCATAGAGTCTGTCAACACTGCTCCAATGGCAGTATCTCTTTCAGAGTGAGACATTGTATCTGATGTTTCCCAAGCTTGTTTTACTTTGCCCATCCCCCTACCCCCTTTTTTTTCTGGAGGAATATTTACTGAGGCATAGTTTGTGAAGCGATAGGCTGGCATTTCCTCATTTAGCACACTGCGGCAACAGAGGCAGTTTTGTCGTCTCCTTTTGGATGTGGGTGGAGATGTGACCCACTAGAGTTGAAGGTGTTCAGGGAGACCCAGTTCTCCTTGTAGGCTGCCCAGGCTCATCTGTCTCTGATGAGGTCTTCTGTTCAGGCAAGCAGCCTTTAGTTCTGTGTTGCAGGGCTCTTGACTGGCAGCATGAGGGTCACCTGGGTAACACACTGGGTTGAAGCTCCTTTGTCCTGTGATTGGCAAGAGAAATGCATACCTGAGCAGTCTGACCCACGCATTCCTCTATCCAGCTCCCATGTGTCCTGCAGGGTCTTCTGAAAAGCTGCAGATCGTTCTCTGGGGACAATTTCCTCCTCACCCAGGTTTTGAGGGCCTTTTCTTCTTTGAGGAGGAGATTGCTGGGAGAACTGTAATTTCTTGGCGGCCATTGTATCAGTAGCCTGACAACCAAAGGGAGGGACGCAGGGCAGGCTGGCTACAGTTGTGTATCATATCGTTCTTTCTTCTTTTTTTATTAATTACAGAAAGAAATTCAGGCCATGAGTCAGTGCAGCCACCCCAACGTAGTGACTTATTACACTTCCTTTGTGGTCAAAGATGAACTTTGGCTGGTCATGAAATTACTAAGCGGAGGTAAGTGAGTTTCATTGTTGCTTATTTTTGTTTTCCCTTGCTTTGTGGGAGTTATCATACTGAAGAAGAAGGATTTTAGTCCCTGGTTTGAAAGACCAATTTTTTTTTCTTTTTCGGTTTTCGAGACAGGGTTTCTCTGTTTAACAGCCCTGACTGTCCTCACTCTGTAGACCAAGTTGGCTTTGAGCTCACAAAGATCCACCTTCCTCTGCCTCCTGAGTGCTGGGATTAAAGGTATGTGCCGCCGCCACCACCACCACCACCTGGCAAGGGGCCAAATTTCTTAATAATTCAAAGCCTTTCATAATTGGGTTTAATGTCCTAGAGTTTCTGTGTCCCTTCCTCTATGTAGCAAGTGTCCCCACCTTCTGGGTTAGGTGATTCCAGTTGCCCTAACTTCCATATGTTCTCAGAGACCTCCAGCCCTTCCCTGTCCTGTGCCTGGCTTCTGCCTTAAATGTCTCTCCTTTTCCCACACAATCCCATTCTCTCTGTAGCCACTGTTTATTCTTTTCAGAAACACTAGCCTGTGTGTGTGTGTGTGTGTGTGTGTGTGTGTGTGTGTGTGTGTGTGTGTGTGTGTTGCTAAGGATCAAACCCAGGACATATCAGACAGGTCCTCTAGCACCAAGCTACACCTCAGTCCAGTCCTTCCTCTTTCAAGTCCTTTAAACACAGCTCAAGTCCTCACCGTGTTGCATCCTGTGATAAGGGAGGAGCGCTATGGACTCTTGAGCACTTGCATGGGGGCTGGTGTGGTGCCGTCTGAGTTTCTGCCCCCTATTTCTTCAGTGATACTGGTCAGTGCAGAAACTGTGGACTCCCTGAAGAGAAAACCACCCACTGAGCTTGACCCATTGAACCTGACATCCCGTGGGTACTTGCTCCATTTTGTTACAGTTTACATGGAGAGAAGTGATGGCCACTTCATTGGTGTTCAGTGTTGATGCATCATTCTCACTCTTGCTTTTGGGAAGAGATTGCTCAAGTTAGTGATAATTTACTTTTGAAGGCTTTCTCACATCCATGCTTTTACTTGAAAAACAAACAAACAAGCAAGCAAACAAACAAACAAACAACCCTAACCCCTCAATATCATCACCAGAGAGGGAATGAAAATGATAAACACTAACAACCTTGGGCACTTACTCCGTAGCTCCATCCTGTTAAGACAGTTCACTTTCTTATCTCATTCCATCTCAGCATCCTCCATGTTTTCACCATCCCCATCCTGCAGAAACTGCCTTGAAGCTCACGGGACTTAGGCCATGTGGCCCAGGTCTCTAACTCTCAGGCACACTTAACTATTGGTACTAGAGGAAAACACTGCTTTAAAAACTGTGCCACATTCCCAGTGTTCTCTCCATTTTCCAGTCCTGGACATTGAAGCTTAGAAAGCTTGTGTGGTTTCCTCAGGAGGCCTACATTCTCTCCATGCTGTCTTTCTCTGGTGGCGCTCCTTGTATATGCTCTGAGCATGAAGGGTATCCTAGAGAGCCCAAACTAGTGTGGTTGGATCTTTAGACCAGATTTCAGCTAAGACTAAATTAAAAATGTATTTTAATTAATTGTTATTATTACTTTTTTTTATTTAAAGAAATCCTCTTGTATCAAGCAGAGGCCCATACATGAGATGCCAAGTCTCTGTAGTTGATTTGAGTGTACATGGGTGGATCTTCTAGACACATGTCTCTGCTCTCTTAGTCCTCCTCAGACCCGTTTTCTTAAGTAAGCTATTTAGTTCATAATGAAAAGGAAGAAGGAAAGGCAGAGGAAGACCATAGAGCCACACTTAACACTGGCCTCCACAGTGCTCCCTTCTTCCAATAACTCTGGTGCTGTGTCAATAAGACGATCTTAACCAGTTGAGGCCGAGAGTCTTAGGGGTTCTGCTACCTCTGAGAAAGCAGTGAGTTCTGGTGACCTGGACCCTGGAAGTCTCAGATGCTCTGTTGCAGTTAAAGAGTTCACCTCAGTTAGCCTTTCACTTTCCTGAACTTGAGAACATCCCCGGTTTCTTTTATGAGGACTAGATAGAAAATGCATTGTCTGTTTGAGAGTCCAGTCTAGTCTCCAAACAGGGCTTTGGAAGGTAAGATAATAGGTTTCCAGCAAGCTTACACGGGAAAGGGAAATGTGGCCAGATAAAGAGTCTTGTTCACTTTCTTTCAGAAGGCTAGAAATTTGTATCTGCTGGGTAGGTCATATATTTTGAAGAATGAAGCAAGTGATGTTTAGAGTCCTTATTTTTTCTAAATGACCCGAAAGTCTAAGAGTTGATACATAGACAGATGCATTCTCCTCTCTGCGGAGGGAAATTTGCATTTATTTTTCTTCTATATTGTTTGACCACATTGAACCCCCTAATGAGGGGCAGGCAGGCAGCTAGTTTGGTGCAATAACAACTGTACCAATCCTCTTAGTTAATCATAAAGAGCCTAGAGCCAAACTCAGGTCCTGAGGTAAGCCATTTGTTAACTCTTCAGAAATGTTGAATCTCCAGGTAATTATAGCTTTAAAAATGACCCAGAGGTGTAGAATATTAATTACTATGTGTTGAAACATGAATTCATCGTGCCTAGGATACTAATCTCTATATAGTAACAAAGCACTTACGAATTTATTTATTTATTTTATTAGAAAATCCTGTGCATAAAGCATAAAATGAAAATCAAAGTTGCTGAGAGTCTCACAAAGGAATCTTGGGGTTATGGGCAGTGGTGTGGAGGTGCCATGCTGGGCAGTGGTGTGGAGGTACCATGCTGGGCAGGGTGTGGAGGCGCCTTGCTTGCCCTGCCTCCCACCTTTGACGTAGGTGATAGGAAGGGCTGCCACTCTTTCCTCTTGGTTCTCTGCCGTCTTTCCTCTCCCCCTGAACAATGTTTGGTTCTTGACTTCACTTGTTTACTTCTTTAAAAAATATGTCTTCATACCTTGTGGTAGATATATTTATTTTATTATTACTTTAAAAACTGTGATGTCCAAGTTGTTTCTGAACTCCTGGACTCAAGACCTCCTTCCATTGCACCCTCCTGAGCACCTGGAGACCATGCCTAGTTTTTAAATCTTAGTTATTATTATTATGATTATTATTGCATGTGTGTGTGTGTGTGTGTGTGTGTGTGTGTGTGTGTGTGTGTGTGTTGCCCTTAGCACAGACATGCATGTGGAGGTCAGAAGACCTTGCAGTGATCACATCTTTCTTTCTAGCCCGTGAGTCCCGATGAACAAAATGAGGTGGTCAGGCTTGGTAGCAATGCCCTTACTGTCAAGATAGCTCACTACCCCTCATCCCCAGTACGCTTTGACATTTAAAAAAAATGTGCTAGGGATCCGTCATTGGCCCTTTGTAGTAATCAAGATTCTCTAGGAGAACAGAAATATCGGGGGATGGTGTATGTTTTAAACACAGATGTGTAATTACGAAAGGAACATTGGTTTAAACGATGGGAGACTGAATGGTCCACCGATGGCTCTCCGTACAGTGGAGAGGCGGAGGACCTGGCAGCTGGTCAGCCCATGAAACCAGAAGCCTTAGACACCGGGGACCGTGGATGCAGCCTCCTTCTGAGGTTGGAGACCTGGAGGCTCCATGCCGAGTCACTGATGCCCGTCTACACTGAAAGGCTGGTGTCTGTGGGGACAGCAGCTGCATTAGAGCCACCCACCCAGCCAGCGGATCTTACACATGTTAGCGGCTTCTCTCTTTTCCACATTCAGTCTATCTGGGACCCCAGCCTATTTGATGATCCTGCCCGTAACCGGGGCAGGCAGGTCTTTGTCCCTAAGTTACTGCTCTGGAAATGCCCTCACAGATACAGCAGAAGTGCACTTTACTCACTCTTAGGAGTTTCTCAAGACGCTGAGTTCGATAATGAGTTTTAATCACCACAGCCTTGTGCTCACACAGCTAATCACATACTTTATCACTGGCCTCTGATTCCTGGGTGCCCTCACCCTTTCTCTCAGCTTTATTATTATTACCGTTTGTGTGTATGTGGGTGCCTGCAGAGGCCAGGGAGGGCATTGGATCCCGTGGAGGAGCTGGAGTTAAAGGCGGTTGTGAGCCATCCAATAATGGTGGCAGTGGGAACTGAACCAGGGTCGTCTGGAAAAGCAGCAGTCAGTCTTCAGTGCTGAACCATCCCAGCAGAGCTCTCCTTCCTGACTCTTGACGAGAATTGTTCTCACCTTCACACTGAAAGTGTAAATTGCCAACTTATTAATAGACACAGTGTGTCTAGCCTTAGGCGTGGCCTTTGATTCTTTTTATGCCTTGGGAGTATGAGATTGGGTAGACAGAGTCTATTTTTGATGGTCCTATCTAGTGTTGTAATAGTAGAGGGTTCTTCATGTAAGAAGGAATGGAGATATTTATAAAAAACAATCCTCCCACCGGACGGTGGTGGCGCATGCCTTTAATCCTAGCACTCGGGAGGCAGAGGCAGACAGATCTCTGTGAGTTCAAGGCCCGCCTGGGACAAAGTGAGTTCTAGGAAAGGCACAAAGCTACACAGAGACACCCTGTCTCGAAAAACCAAACCAAATTAAAAAAAAAAAATCCAGTCCTCCCAAATTCTGTCTGTTCACTCAGGTTCCATGTTGGATATCATCAAATACATCGTCAATCGAGGAGAGCACAAGAATGGAGTTCTGGAAGAGGCAATAATCGCAACAATTCTTAAGGAAGTTTTGGAAGGTTTAGACTATCTGCACAGAAACGGCCAGATCCACAGGTAGGATTTCTTCTGTACAGCCTGCTCTTCATAATGTATAGCTCTAGTTTTTAGAGAATTTCAAGGAAGTGTTTCTTACAGGTAAGCTTTTGTATTATGCAAAAGTTAACACTTAAAAACAAAACAGACCTCCAAAGAATCAACTTGGATGTATTTCCTTGGTATCCCTGAGGCGGGTTTATGTGGTTAAATTGAAGCAGAGCAAATGTAGTAAGTGCTGTGTGGGCTCATTAAGGAATTAGTTAACATAATTACTCCTGAAGTGAACTTGCTTGAACTGGATGGCATCTCCCTCTTCCTAAGAACACAAGACTGTTACATTTTATGTTAACAGTTTGGGGCCTGGTGGGGAGAGGGAAGAGGCAGCCCTGACTTCTTCTGTAATACAGACTGCTAAGCTTTGAAGCAGAGGAGCAGAGGATGGGAGTGCCCAACGTTTCCAAAGCAACAGTGTTACTCTGACTCGTAGGAACGTTACAAATAGACAACCACTTACCCTAAAACTAATAACACCGTTCAAGGTGGAGCCGTGAGAGAGCTATGTATTTGATGATCTGTACCATATTTTTTAATACTTGTTTCTTAATTATCACTTCCTTTAAATATTAAAATTGCTCCACAGAGCTTCATATAGTGAAGAAATATCACATAGAATAGTATAATTAACACTTAGCCTTGGCATGGCCCCATAGGAGAGACTGATCAAATTCATTTTAAGTGGGCTGTGTGACTGTTTGGAACTGTGCCACAGGCAACTCTGAAGTACAAGTGGAATACTGAAATAGGATTTAGTTCTTGATAAATATGGCAGTCTTGTGCCTTTAGGGTTAATCACTAACTCTGAAACATAAGATAGTCTCCTCAGTAGTGATTTAATTAAATGAAGATAATGGCTTCACATAAAACATTTGTTATTAAAACCCTAACTGTGCCTCGGGAGCAAAGTATAAAATGACAGTGTGCACTTACAATTTTTAAAATCTGCGATGTGACTTTCATGTCACAATATAATGATTGTGTTGGCCGTGGGCTTGTGTGCTGAGTGTTAAAATCTGGAATGAGTCAGTGTAATATATAATCCATGCTTTATAATTCTCTGCTTTGTTTGTTTTTTTCCCCCTAACAGGGATTTGAAGGCTGGTAATATTCTTCTGGGTGAGGATGGTTCAGTACAGATAGCGGGTAAGCTGTTAAAGATGAAGGTCTTTCTATTCACAGGACTGTTACATTGTAAGGAATGGAGGGTGGTTTCCACAGACTAGTTACATTTTTTAAGAGAGTCTGGGCTGCTCTGCTATAACGACCTGCCCTTACAGAATGCTGGGACTGGAGCCTGGATGTGTCTCGTCCAATTCTCTTGATAAATAATGCGTTTTGAGCACAGATCCTTTTTATCACGATCTGATTATCAGTTTCTACTTGAATAGCTTTCTCTACTTTTTAGATTGAATAAACGTATTTATATACCTGCCAGAAAAATCATTTGGAAAATTGGTTTTGATTGAGTTTGAAAATTTAAAACATTATGTACATTAGTTAAGAAACTTTTTATTTCTGTAGGCTATCGAGTAAGCACATCTGGTAAACATGTCCCATGCTTGGCTCCTGTCATTTTGTTGTTTTGAGTTATCAGAGTAACCCCAAGAGCCTTGGCATAGAAGGTAGCCACATCCATATTTTCTCTTATTTTGCCCCAGGTCCTTGCAGGTCAGCTCCAGCCACCCTTTCAGTCATCGCCATCTCTCTGTGGCACTGGTTTTGGCTGGATAGTTCTTTCCTGTAGGGCACTGTTCCTGCCATTTCTGAGTGTTCAGCCTTTTGTCTTCCAGTAACGAAATATTATTAGCAGCCATTGCTAGTATTATCCTGGGTGAAAATCATTGACATGGCTTCTGTTATTAAGAGTGTTGAAGTTTGTCTCATGCTGGCGAATCAGCTTAATTGGCTTCATTTTGAATTATAGGAAGAATCGTATGTGTTGGCATAGATCTAGGCTTTGAGCATACCGAATTATTGAACCAAAATCGACCATAGCACTTTATTCTAAACAAAAGGGGGAGGATTGAGGGGGGAAGACTGGGGCGTGGGAGAAGGGAATCCATGTCTGATATGTAAAATTAAATTAATTATAAAATAAAAAAAGAGCTAAAAAAAAAAGGGAAAAAAGTCTGTTTCCAGATAAACCTGAAGAGTTAGTTATTAGAAAGCAGAGAATCCAGGATCTCTAGAGATGGCTCAGAGATTAAGAGCACTGGCTGCTCTTGCAGAGGACACAGGTTTGGTTTCCAGCAGCCACATGGTGACTCAAATACATCTACAACTGTAGCTCCAGGGGTCCCAATGCTTTCTTCTGCCCTCTGTGGGCTCCATGCACACATGTGCACAGATATACATGGGGGCAAAACATCCACACACATAAAATAAAATAAATAAATGAATTCAAAAGAATTAGAGGAGCTCAGTAGAAAACCAGCTCTAACGCCGAGGCTAGGCTTTTAAATTTGGGGGTGCTGGGGTCAAATGTGAGGCCTTGTGAGTACTAAGCAGATGCTTTACCGTTGAGCTCCATCCTCAGCCTTAAGGCTGCCCCATGGCCATCTCTGTGGACCCTCAGGTGAGACTCTGGAGAGCGGGGCAAGCAGGCTGCGGGACCTTGGTCTCTATATATTTTCATAAGTAAAGAGCGACTTTTAATTCCTCTTTTAAAGGGGAGAAGACATTTGAAGATGCAAAGGAAGTTTTTGTTTTTCAAATCCCACGTGTTTTCCCTTAGAGAAGGGATAACGGAAGTGATTATCTCGGAGAAGGTAGATTTGGTCACCTATAGTTGGTTTAAGGCATCGGAAGCAACTTTGTGTGTTGCTTAAGGCCAGAGGCTTTGGGGTCCTGATTGACAGACATCCACTGTGTGCCTTACTTAGGCCATGTTGTTGCATCTTTTAGCCTCACTTTCCCCATATGAGACAGGGTGAGGATGCTTGCTGTGCAGACTGTTTTCCTCTGTAGCCACTGCACCTTAAGACCCAGGTTTTGGGGACTGGAGAGATGGGTCAGTGTTTAAGAGCGCTGGATATTCTCCTAGAGGACTGCTGTTTGATTCCTAGCACCTGCATGGTGACTTCCAGCTATGGGGTCTAATGCCCTCTTCTGGCCTCCTTGGGCACCAGGCACACATAGACATACATGCAAGCAAAATACTCATACACATAAAGTGAAATACTAACAATAAAAAGACTGACTCAGATGTATATGAGTTCAGTAGACTCTGGGAACCACACAGTGTTCTGTGGGGACAAAGAGGCCATTTGATGGCTGTTTTGTTTTTTGTTTTTTTTTTTCCCCATGTAAACACTTCTGTTAAAACTGTCTGAAAGGATTCTAGAAAATAGGGACTAGCATCTTTATGACTCCAAAGAATGAATGAATGAATGAATTTTAAACTTTGTGTGTGTGTGTGTTCAGGGCACTATATATACATGTGTGGAAGTCGGAGGACACCTGGGTGGAGTTGGTTCTCTCCTTCCACCTTTACAGGATTTCTGGAGATCCAATTTAGGATGCCAGGTTTGCAGGGCACACAGCTTTACTCATGGAAGCATCTTGCTGGCCCTGATACACATTTCCTTTCATTGTAAAGAGATAGATATATTTGTACAGAAATTTTTCATTCATAATTTACATTGCTTGTTGATAGTTCAAATTATGTAAGTTTCTTGTCCCATTAAACATGAACCCCCCCTGCATGTAGTGTTGTTTTAATATTTATATATATACTATATATTATTACATACATATATATGAACACACATACATACATGTGTATATATATATATATATATATATATATATATATATATATATATATATATATGAAATGCTTAGAACAGCCAATAAGGTGGACAGTGGACAAAAACAGTCTAATGAGCACATGGGCAATTGGAGTTTATATAAAGGAAAAAAAATGCTCAGTGTCACAACTAGAGAAATTCAGCTTAAAACAATATTGAGATACTTATACCACAAAGCCAAAGGTTAATCCATTGTTGGTAGCAGTACAAAAAGTTACATCCACCGTGGAGAGGAATCTGGTACTGTCTCACAACTACAAGTACAGATTATCTTTGTCTCTGCAACCAAGCGAGGTGCATCAGTGACCCCATGTTGACTGCTTCTGGTCAACCATGGTGGGTGTGTGCATCTCTGGAGTCTGCCGCATGTCTCTCTGAGAGGGAGTTACTAAGCGTTTATCAGCACAGTTATGGCTCTGCTAGGAATCTGCCCTCCAGCTATCCCCATGTGTGTTTGGAATGTTAGAGGCCTTTGTTTATTTGTTGGAGATTTTTTTGGAAGGGGGTGTAGCATAAGCTTGAACTTGTGGCACTCCGGCTGCCCCTGCCTCCCAAGTACTGGGATTATAGGCATGTACCACTGTGCCCAGATAATCGGATGGAGTATTTGTTTGTGAAAGCAAAATACGAGATGCAATCTGGTGTCTTAAGTATAGTGTATACGCAGTATATCCATAATATGAAATACCCATTCACTCAAAAGAAGGAAAAACTCAGTATTGGTTAAGTGAATAAATCAAGGTGACAGACAAGAAGTGGGGAAAACTGAGAGGATCGCTCTGACTTTGTGCATAGATACAAGGAATTTAGTCACCCAGGAGCTAGACTATTCATATTACCCTTTTAACACTTGAAGTTTGAACCGTATAAGGCATGGCTGACCTTATAAAACCAATGCAGTGGTTTAGGAAACTCGATAATATTCTGCCAATAAAGTGAAACATTTTCAGTCACGTGTGTGTGTGTGTGTGTGTGTGTGTGTGTGTGTATGTGTGTGTGTGTGTATGTGTGTGTGTTTGTGTCTGTGTTTGTGTCTGTGTGTGTGTCCTTGGGTTTAGTTCCTCAGGCACTGTCCACTTCGGTTTGTTGGTTTGTTTTGGTTTGTTTTTTTGACAAGAATTCTCATTTGCCTGGCATTCACCAAGTATGCTAGGCTGGTTGGCCAGTAAGCCTCAGGAACCCGCCTTTCCCTGCCTCCTCTGCGCTGGGGTTATGAGCAGTGTGTCCAGCACACTTGCCTTTTTAACCTGGGTTCTAGGATCGAACTCAGGTCCTCATACTTGTGCGGCAGGCATTTTTACCAACTAAACTGAGCCCCCGTTATCAGAGTTTTTATTATAAGAAGTTCCAAATGTCCGCAGTGGTGGGAATGAGCCTTCTTGCTTGCTTCGCTTAGCTCCAGTACTTCTCGGCTTCCACTGTTCATTCTCTGTCTATCCTTTCTCCCTCTGCTGTGGGGCCTTTTATTCTTTCTGTGGAATTTTGTTCTTCTGGCATCTGAGTTAGCAGCTTCTGTATGTGCACTTTGTCAGCCCTTAGGGAGGGTGGTGTTCCTGGGGGCGATCTGGAAAACTGCTTCAGCTCGGGAAGTGACAGGCAAAATAAATGTGCCCCCCAAACCTGAAACTACCCCGCCCCAAGCAGTCTCCTTGTTGAGTGAGGACTATCAGCTGGTCGAAATTCCCAGGCCATCACTCAGTAGCTCTGTGAGGTTGGATAAGTTATCAGGCCTCATTGAGAGTCATTTCCTTTAAAAGGGATTAAACGATATTGCCTTTAACAGTGCGGGCATGCGGGAGGTACCCTAGAGCTGTCAGAAGATGCTGCTCTGCGGCTGTTGCTATGGTTATTGGTGTTACTGCCATTCCTAGCATTACTGCCACCAGCAGGACCACACTTGCCCTGTCTGGAGGTCATGTAGACCTCAGATTTGTCTTGCAGGAGATACGGCTGTGCCAGAATTTATGAGCTCCAAGAAGGTAAGCTTGCCTCGTATAGAATTTGGAAGAAAACCGGTCATTAATCTTTAGTTAATACTGATAGGGAAGTACAAGTAACTTTCTTTGTTTGGGAATGAAACAATCCCCTCAACATGAGGGTCAAAATAGCAGTCAGTTGCCTTTGAAATGCAAAGACAGGTCAACTCCTGCTTTATTCTGCTACTTGGTACCCTGCCAGTCACCCCATCTCATTATTCTTGTCAGATTAATGATCTGAGCTTTTTCCTGGGTGTCTGGAACACACTGTCCTTTTCCTTCTCTCACTTGGGATCCTCTGAGGTGAGGTTCCTTGCACTTTTTTTTTTTTTTCTGTCTCAGACCTTAAGGTTCCTCT